GATCCTTTTAACTTTTTAATCGCGTCGCGTAGAGTAGCATCGCGCGTCTCCGCATTTTAACCGCACTCTTACGTTTTTTCATTCAAAGTACACTTTCTCTTTCCTCAACGTTGTGTGTTTCTTCTTTTATTATTGATTCGCCGTAGCACCGTATATCGTTTTTTATCGACGATCGACGAAAAAAGGTACGGTCGAATGAGAAAAATTTTCGGCGATTCAATGTCGATTATAAACGTCGAGAGGAGAAAAGCAATAAAAATAAAATAAACTTGGCACTGATCAGCTGCTGCTGCACGTTAATTTTTTATTTTACATCAAGTCACACTCGTCGTCGAACTTGCCTCTATAATATTAATTCACGCGTGTTTATATACATCAAGGTATTTGTATATATTTTATATTATATTATATAAGACAGCTGCTTGGCTCGTGACTCTCGCTTAGGCAGCTCTCGTCGTGTGTGCACGCGGACCTCTCTATATAATGTATCACACACACACGCACACACACTCTCTATATATATGCATGCAAAAATTGACCGTTCGGTTTGCCGATCTTGCGTCGACTGAGCGGCTCAAGGGGAGCAGGCACGCGGCCTGCCAGCCGAGAGTAGCAGCAGCGGCGGCAGCAACGGCAGCTTTACCCAAGCCTGGCGAAGAGAGAGAAGAGAGCAGCAGCAGCGGAGCACAGTGTCGAGAGAGGTTCCACCCACCACGCGCGCCGCTGCTGCTCTCGACACATTCACACACAAACGCATACTACAGGTATATACTCGATCCCTTCTACTCATTCACTCACTCACTCACTCGTGCTCTCTTGTATTCTATCTTCCTTTCTTTCTTCACCTCGTTTCGTTAATGTACATATTCTCCTTTATGTGTATAACACACGCAGCACACACACACACGATCCTGCGTCGTGATCCTTTTGACTCCAAATTGACAACGACCCCGCCTAGATCTCCGTACGATTTTTCCAGCTCCAGCGTTACAATACGAGTATATTTTTTTCCTCTTGTCATCGTGCATAAAAATTTACGAAAACTCTCCTGTCCTGGCATCATCGTCATCGTCATGCAAACCTGCAGCTATGCACAAATAATATAACGCGACGGCTCTGTTCTCGGTAAAAATCGGAACGACCGCGACCGTACATACGTAACGCGCGTGTGGGCCTCCTCTCTGTGCGCGCATCTAGGCTGGGATAATAAGTTCGGCGAAATGAAAAAAAATAAATAAAGAGTAAGCGCGACGATGCGCTCGACGGCGCACACGCACGCATCATGTCGATCGCGGGGGCATAGCAATTGTAATTATTTTCGCGACGCTCGAGTCATTGTAATTGAATTTGGCCACGCGCTGGCTGCGGCGTGTGCACACGACGATCGCGTAATCGACTAAAATTCGTTAATGAACGGATATCGAACGCGACGATTCATTTGTTTTTCTCGTGTGTTGGTTAATCAGATTGCAATTAGGAATTTCGTATGGATAAGAGAGTTTATTATTGGCATCATCGCTGCTTGCTCCTCGATAAAGAATGCGCGCAGTGTTTATGATAATGCACGGCATCCTCACTGCGCGCAAACTATCGATGCGAGAGATTAAAAATACGTCAGAGAGAAAAATTGAAAATGTCATAAACTCGACAATAAAAGGTATATTATAAATGTACTCGCGATCAACAGAACTAACTAATCACGACGACGACGAGGGCCGCCTTGCTGTGCTGCAGTCGCGGAGAGAGAAAGTTTATTTATATACGACTGCACGTAAACGAGTCCATATAAGCTTCGATTTATTAATGTACATTAAGGAGTGCGTGAGTTTAAATGCACAACGTGCGCCTGTGTGTGTGTATTTCAACGACGAGTGTGAGTCTGTATGTAACAAGAAAACCAAAAAAAAAAATCGTATACGAAGCAGTCGATAAGACGATTAAGATAAGGCTTATGTACAGCGAGTCGCGCTCGAGCGCGCAAGTGTGAATGATTTATCGTCGTCCAAGGTATAGCAGCGGCGGCGACGGCAGCCTAGCAGTAGCAGCATCGACCGCGTCGACGTCGCGTCTGATGTCACTCACGAAAATCACGTTCGCGATCATTTCTCTCGGCATTCATAATAATCATAATAATAATAATAATAATAGTAGTAAATAAAAATAATCATAAAGTTCGTTCGCGCGCGGACAAACCCATTGGCCGGCTTGATGAATATTTATCGCCTCGATGATCCTCTTCGTTGCGAGAGGGATCGGACGTATAAATATAGATTATTATCGATATATATGTGGTCCACGCAAGTCGAGCGAGCGAAATCACCTGTTGTGCGACAAAAATGTTGCTTGTTCCGACACGATTATAGCGAGCTACAAGTCGATACGCTCAATCGACGCGAATAGACGTGTGCTAATGCAATCCCTCTGTGTGTGTGGTGAAAATATATTACAAAGGCCCTGTATTATACACGTAACGTGCGGCGCTCGTCGTCGTATCCGGTTGGGAAGCGCACCGCGCGCTGTGCATCATCATCATCCACGTGTGGCGCAGTGTGCAGAGAGAAAGACAGAGAGAGAGATCGGTATTATATGAGAATTTTATCGTGTGCCGGTACGCGGATAATCCTCGGCTGCGCTGCTGCAGCTGCGTCGTGGTGTGCCCAAAGGCGCCTCTCGTTATATATTCGTGTGAATCACAATGTACTGCGTGTGTGAGTGTTTATAAACTCGTGATGCGGCTCGTAAAATTGCACCGACCGCTTCTTTCTTTATTTTTGCGTCTTATTTATATGGGTGATAAGGCACACTCGTCGGTGGCACTACCACCACCACCACTAACACCAACGGCAGTACACTATTAAGTCTAGGGTTACATATATCCAAGCCACTGGCCTGGGTAATATGTTAAAGTCTAAAGCGAATCCGAAGTTTCTGTGTGTGGAAATTTGATAGCAACAGTTTATGCAGCGTTGCGCTATATATACGCTGATGCTGCTGCTGCGCATATTTTTGAGAGGAGAGAGAGAGAGAAACGAGATGCGAAAGTGTGAGTGTTTGTATGCATCGGAGTAAAGCAAGAGAGAGAGTGTGAATATTAATCGAGGGGGTAAGCGAGATTCGGAGGCAAAAATGAATCTGGATTAAGAGTGGTTGCGTCGCGAACGACGTGCTGGCCAGAAGTCGCTTTCGTTATACATATACCTTTGTGCGCTTGCCAGCCGGCGCGACGCGCGTGTTATGTCCGAGCAGGAAACCGCGATTATCTCGATGCTTTTTTAGGGGGGGATATGCGACGAAGATGTCTAGTTTTGGTCCGAATAAGAGAACGAGTGAGATTTTTTTCGTTTTTTCAATTATTTCAAACAAAAAAAGAGAAGGTGAGCCTAGGACGCGTTCAATCGAAGATAACCTCTACGACTTACTAATTGCGATAAGCCATATCGCGTCTGTCATCGAAGAATTTACAAGATTTGTAACCGATAACAAATCCAATGTTACAGCATCGGTACAAGTATTTGTTTAATTGTCAATTTGAACTCGCGCTACAATCGTGACGATTGAATACTTCTGCAAGCTCTCCCAGAGATACTGCGGTTTGATAAAAAAATTGCCTCTTAGTTCTAAAAATTCGCACTTGACTATTTCTGTTGCAAAAAGCGAGAACCAGAGAAAGAGAGAGAGAGAGAGAGAGAGAGAGAGAGAGAGAGAGAGAGAGAGAGACCATTCGCGCACCAGGCTGTACTCCGAGAAAGCAAAGCAAAGTAAAAAAAAAGAAAAAGGAGAAAAAGAAGCAGCAGCAGCGATGCGCACGGCCAAAGATCCACGCCGCGCGTTGGGACACTACTACTACTACTAACGTCGTCGTTGATGCGAGAAACCGATAGCGTGTAGGTCAAGGCTTTTACCGAGAACGAATTTTTGCCCGCGCGCTGTTATTTTTCATTTCCGGCGCTGTGTGCGCTTACTATACCATATATACCCGCACCACATTATATTATGCCGCTGCTGCTGCTATATACCCCCTTTGCTCTGCTTCTTCGCCGTCGTCGTCGTCGTTCTTCTTCAAATTTTTTTTTTCATTCTCTCTTTTTTTTCCTTCAATTATCTTTGCTTTTCATCTTTTGCGCGAGCTCGAACTTGCAACCGCATTAACAGATACGTATAATATTTTTCCCGTATATAAATATAATGTAGCCGTATAATATGCACGAAAAAGTTTAAATAGAGTAGAGAGAGGGTGCGAAGATGACTAATTCGGAGCTCCGCGTTGACAAAATCGAGGCGTGGTGCTTCTCGAAAAACCTTTTGCAAGGGTTTCATCCGTTGCGCGAGGATCATCGCGCGGCGATCGTTATCGGCACGGACGCTCGGCAAAATTTTTACCTTTCTTCCTTTTTTCTTCGTGCGACACGGCTATGTGTCCATGTATGCATAAAGGATATGTACGCGAGCAGCAGATGAAAGAAGCTCGCCGAGGGCGAGAGATTATGTATTTTGTGCCCAAAATTTAGGTCTTCCTCGAGCGCCGCCTATTTAACATTCAAATTTTTACCGATTCATCATTTATTATAATAATAACAACGATAATCGCGGCTTCGTGAGGTGAGTCAACACTTTCTAACAGCGTCTAATCTGATGGCAGTTCGCACAAGAAGACGTATATACGTACGCTTCTTTTGACGATCGCAGTAATCGATATTATGCTATTTTTGTAAATTGTTATAAAACATATACATTGTACTATGTATATCGATACAACACACACACGTATCCGCGATTGATCGAATCGGTTGCATAAGTCTCGAGTTTTTTAAACGCGTCGCGCGCGCACACGAATTATGAGCGATGAATCAACGAGACGAGAATCTCTCACGATTAACTCTCAGCGCTCCTTTCCTTTTTTCATTTTATACGGAATTTGTCGATACATAAAAATCTTTCTGTATCTTTTTTTTCAATTTTTTTTTTTAATTCATTCGCTTTTTGAGTCATCATCAACTCACCTCGTCGTCGCACATTTCCTCCGCGCCGTTGATACGTCCTTATTATATCTCGTGTCATCTTCGACAATCGTCGTGCAGCACATAACCAGCACACTATACGTTATTCATATGTAACGTATGAGCAAAAAAGCTGCACTCACTAAAATGTCCATACACATACACACCCGACCGTCACACGATCGAGATGTGTATCGGCCCGCGAACTACTGCGTACAGAACGATTGGCCCGATCGAACGCGACGATATAGATGAATTACAGCCGAGTGTCGGATCTCGCGGCAACGGACGTAAACACTGCTTGTTTCTCGCTCTTTCGCGGCGCCAACCGTTTGTTTACATCGGGATAGGTTCGGAAGTACGAGTCGGAAGGTAAACATTGAAAATTAGGATATATGATTATCGCGACACTCGCGCGAAAAGGCCAATTGATTTCACTTGCAGAACTTGTATTATTATGCTAAACGACGCGGTGGTAAATATGACGCGCACGTGTGCACTCGTGGGCACTCACAAATCAGCTTTTTATATTAATACACTCACCAACTCACTCAGTAACTCGAGAAACATATACACAATATATTACATTATAATAATACACACGCTGCGCTACGGATCTTCAGGGGTCGGAGCAAGTGGGTATTACACGCCGCTACGATTTAATGAATGACGCGCTTTACTATACTATGGCTATAATGTCGCGCGGATACGCCAACTTTATATGAATGAAATCCGTGCGTAGTATTATATAGTAAAGTACGCTATGATACGGCGACATGCAGACGTACAACTACACCACTACAATAAAATAAACACACACACGTGCAGTGTCGCATTAGAATTAGCTGTCTCGTCGCAGTGGGCGGCCTGTATAAATTGCCGACAGCCAATCCATGAGCTAGCTTTACTGTGTCGCAGCGTCTATGACACGAGAGCGAGTTTCGTTTTATGTACGTTGCACATATGGGAGCGATGATGACGACGACGATGTGTTGACGACGCGATGACAATTGCGAATCCGAGATAAGTGCGTGGCGATGACGCTATGCCATCATTTTAACCCGTTAATAATCACGCATAGTGAGCTTTCGCAACAAGAACAAAAAAAGCTCCGAGCTTTTTTACGTACAGCGTAATACTGCGTACTTTCGACGGAGCTATCAAACAAATTGAACCTTACAAGTCTTGCACGAGGAAATACATATTGAGAAATTTGAATTTGTTATAATATTATATACATTAGTCGGACTTTTTTTATATATATTATACTTGTCTACCTACCGCGGAGAGTATAAGCGGCGCTCGGCACACAGGAAAAAGTAAACGACAAGCTTGCTGCCGCTGGTACTGCTACTGCTTATACTGCGGCAATGGGAAAAAATTTCAATTTTCCTGCGCGTAATCATTTCGTCGAATTTTTTAATGGCTTCGGCAGCCAATTTCTATGGAAAAGAGAGCATAAAAATTAGTCATTTCCCCTTTGCGTGCGAGAATTTTTCACGCACATGCACGTATACATATATATACGTGTATTATGGTGTACGTGTATCTCTCGCGCATACAAGAGCGTGCGCGGATATTTTATTTTTTTTTTTATCCAATTTTTTTGCTCGCGCGCGCTGCACAAAAGTCGTGTGTGCGCGCGTAAGCAGTGGCGTTTCATTGTTCGCGGCGACGTTGTGCCATCACGTGCGCAAACAGAGGTATTTTTACGTTTGCTCGACTCCCAATTCGCATTAAATTCAACTCTCGGCCGCATAGAGACACGCGCAGCGCAAGCTCCGACAATAGCTTATGTGTGTATATAGTAATAACGTACGCCTAATTATGTACACTTCGTTTGGATACGTATGTTTTTTTTCTCTTCTTTCTCTGTCTCTCCTCGAGATTTCACCCGATTGCAGATATACGTATATACGATTTTAATGAATTTAATTAGTCGCTCGGCTCCTCGGGCTTTTCTCATTTCTATTTCGAAGCCGCCGCCGCGTCAATTTTAGGCATTGATTACAGGTAGGCAGCTTTTTGCCACGCCATTAGATTCATTAAGTGTCATAATAACAACCATCCACGGCGTTATATACACGATTGTTATATACAAAATGAAGAAAGAAAGGAGAAAAAAAAGGATAGACCCGCGTGTGCTGCTGCAGTCGTCGATTTTCGCGCGCGACGATTCCCCGACCGCTTATAAGTCCCTCACGTGCCGAGCCGAGAATGTATTATAACGAACCTCGTGTTCCGGTATATATTTCGCTCTGTTGGCGCGGGCACACTTCGAGCCAAGCGTCAGATACTATTAATAGATCTGAACTCGCGCGAGCCGACCGGTTGTCTTTTTTAACGCACACACACGAGTTTATGTATGTATACAGAATATTTCTCGCTTGCATATATACAATGATAATCGCGGCTGACTCCTTTTTTTTTATTTTACTACTCATTTTTCTTTTTTACTTTTTTCTGTGTTTTTTTTTTTGCTTCTCGACAACCTGACATCCGCAAAGAACAGCTCGCTGGACTTGTAACGTAACGACGACTAGTGGCACACATACACGCGTATGATCAAAACAATGCGGGGCTACCGATCGAATGGTATCACTGAAAAAAATATAGAAAAAAAAATCTATCGTTTTGGAACTCGACGTAAAATACTCTTATTGTCGAATATTGTACCGCTACTACCGCGTTGGGACTTTTCTATCTTTCACGGGTCGAGTTTCGATACACAGTGTCGTAAAATTATGTCGGAGGTGAGCTCGTAAACCTTTTCTTTAATGCAAATTGCGACACACGCGTAGTTCTCGAGCCTCAAACAGCAGCATTAGCAAGATTGACACCGAGCTAATCGTATACGACGTATTCTTGTCGACATAGCGTCCACTCCGAAATTCGGCCCGACTCTGTATCTTTCGAGTCCATTAATTCTATTATGCAGCGCGTATATCCCGACACGAGTTCGGGAATTAAAAGCCATTATTTATTATGCATTTATGGGGAATAAAAAAGGGGGAAAAAAGGCCGAAAATACTTTCGGGTCGGGGTTATCTATCGGCAACGGTGAATCGAATGAAATTGTGCCCCGAGCGCGAATACAAAAATATAGCTCGCGTTATCTGGCGCGCACTCGAATGACGTAACTATTATACTCGTACTCGGGTGCGAAATGTGCAATCGCTTACAAGGTATACGCGGTGGCACTCGACACGGGATGTCTTTCAGATTTGTCGGCGCTCGCACTACACACACACACACACGTTTCGAGATTGTAGTGTCATAGCGTTCGACTATATACAGTCACATTCATGTATGCGCTGCCTCTACCCACTTCGGGTTTCGCTATTTACCTATTGATCTAATCTATCGATGATTCATAATACATTATACGTAACGCCGTGGTGGCGGCGTCGCGTCTATATAACGCGCTTATATTCCGCGCTGTATTATAGCCCCCGCTGTATTATAGCACACGTTACATCCTGTGCGTTGCTGCGGGACACACAATATTGGCATTCGAGCTCTTTTGCTGTATATAAATACAGTAGGTTCGAAAAAATTTCTAGGTATATATGTTGCTGCATGCGTCGAATTCAAAGTTGCTATACACGCATCGGGATACCGCGACGGCTTCCACATTCAAGACAACCGCACATATTTAGCAATTCGGCTCTGAGGCGCGTCTGTAAAAATGAGGCCCGATATATAGGTATAGGTAATAGGGCAAGTATAACAGCTGCTGCAGCTGCAGCTACAGCTTGGACAGTTTTACGAAGGCTTATAGCTGATAATTTCGGCGCTGTAATATGGCCACGACCGGCCGGTATGGGGCTACTACTTTAAGGAGGATAAAAAAAAAGGAGTCGAGATTATTGTCGAATATTTTCGGTCGCCGAATTCCTTCGCTGCAAGACGCGAGTTGAAGCTCATAAAAGCAGCGGATCGAGACGATGACCTGATTTTATGACGCCCGCGCGTCCAGTTGCGTTATGTGCACTGTATGACATAAATAAATATGAATCTCCAGGCGAAAATGCCTCCACGTGCAGTGTGTCAACTCGATGACAATTAATGTAATACAGCGGCGATAAGATACCGAGCGTGTGAGGTATGTTTTTTTTTATAAAAATATGCGTTGCGAGTAATCGCTGAGAAATGCACACCGAACGACAGAGATTCGCGGGTGCCTGTCATTACATGGCTATAAACATGCTATACAACAAACGATACACTGGTTAGAGAGCATCCGAATTCTTCTCCTAACATAATATAATATAACAAAAGTGTTGTATAGTTGTAGGTACTGCTACACGTGCCGCTGCCGATGCTTCGGAAGATATATGCCTTATGTAGGATATATGTTGGAAATCAGTCGGACACGCCGGGAAGAACCTCCTCCTCCTCCTCTTGCTGCATAACACACACAGACACACAACAACTCGGATTACAAAGCTTATATCGCCGCGCGCGAAGGACATATTACAAAGCCCGACACACACACACGATTTACATACATTCCTTTGGTTTGTTTCGCTCCGTGCGCTGTTTTATAGGTTGCATCGGCAGCAGCAGCAGCAGCAGCGATCTTTTTTGGGCTCTCGCTCGACCCCTAACCCCGCGCGCGCGCATCGAAAAACAATAATGAAAAATAAAATATGATAAAAGAAGAGTAAAAAAAACAAAACAAAAGTGACTCGAGCGAAGTGGAGGAGGAGGAAATGCGTATTGCGGCCTCTATCTTATCTGATCCGAGTCCTTACTACTACTATAAGGTCGGCTGCTCTCTCTCGCTCGCTCGCGAGGAGCTGTCAAACCGAGAAGCCGAGAGTTAAATCTTTCCGCGCCGGCTTCTGCATACGAGTAAGGCGGCGGCGACTGCGAGGCGCTGCTGCAGAGCCAGAGGCCTCCCGCAGCGAGGAGAAGCTATTGTTACTCTCTCTTGGGCGCGCGGGTGCTGTTTGTTGCAATGCAGCGCGCAGGTCGTCTTCTCTCTTACTTACTCTCTCTCTCTCTATCTGTTTGTTGGGGGATTCGGTGCCGCTTTATTCTCAGAAAACTATCATCGGACCGCTATAACTTATTAATATTTTTTGAGGAAAGTCACGAGGCCGCAGCAGCAGCAGCAGCGCATCCTTTTTTCGTATTAAACTCCTGTTATATTAACTCCCGTTTTTTTAGAAATTTGTGTAAGCCTATATATAGACAAAAGGAGCTCTGCTCGCGAGAAGAATGCGTTGCGCCGCTGCTGTTGTGTGACTAATCGCCGCGAAATTTTGGCGGATATTT